GGCAGGTGGAATTTTCACAGCTTTGTAAATTACTTTAGTTCTGTATTTATGGAAGCGTCAGGGCTTGAAGGGGTCGGTGGTATCGTCGCTCATCCTTTACTGCATTTACGGGGGAATCCCGCGTCAGGCTGGCGGGAGTGAATCGGCGGGTCCCAAAGCCTCTCGGGCTGCAGCACTCGGCAGTCGGCTCTGAGCCGAAACCTCGGCGATGGGCTCGGGCTCACACGCACGCGCACGCCAACCCTCAGAAGCGTCTGCTGGTTTATTTTTACACGAAACTCAGTCATGCCTCCAACACCTGCTTTCTCCTGGGCATCCACAAATTCTGAAAAACCTAAAGATCTTTAAAAAGGAAAGTGCTGGCTAACCAAAGGTGAAGCCAGGCCTCTCTGCAAAGGCCTCCATTCCCTCTGCCCGCCATCCGTCGGGCCGCCTTGCTCAAAGCATGAGCTGCGACCAGCCAGAGACACAAATTACAGACAAACCCCCCCCCGGACAGCTCCTCTCTCCAACAAAGTGCAAAAATTATGTTGAAAAGCAGAAAAGCTGAAGTTGCCTATCAAAGGGAACGTACAGGGAAGGAGGCATGCTCGACGGTCAGGCGATGAAACGCTTCCTCTTTCATAGGGTGGCAGCTCATGTTTGAAACTGAGATCTTACGAACAAATACCCGTAGGACCGTGGATTGTAGAAAAACCGTAAAGATCCCATCAAACATATTCCAGCAAGCAGCAAATGAACCTCACTTGCCACCATAAATCATTAATCTTAAATCACCAGCCAATTCCTCAGTCGGCTCCCTGGCGTGGAAACGGGAAGACACTCCAAGGAGGGCTCTCGTGGCCTGGCAGGCACGGCTGGCCGGCGTGTTTAATCACTGTTTATGCGTCGGCAGGGTCCAGGCGTTTGCGTGGAATGAACAGGCCGCTGTCTCCCTGTCCAGATGGCTGCAGGCGCCAGGCCTGGAGCACGTTCGGCGGGTCCAGGGCAGGCTCAGTCTGTGTCTGCACCACGCCAATCGTGAAAACCGTGCGAACCGCAGCACCTCGAGAGTCCCGCAGTACGGAAATAAATGCAGGGCCAGGTCGGGTATTTTGAAAAACATTTACGTGTGACTTTATCATCAGAAAATTCACAGAAGTGGTGAAGTACCATCAGGGCCTTTGTTTAATACGATGTTCTTTTCTTTTTAAAGATCAGTGGGCCCCTGTGTTTTGCATCACAGTGTCGCTTGCACAGCTCAGAGGTGGCTTTGCTTCAGTTAAAGGAATCGCCTGCCGTTCTGTACCGTGAAATAACTAACCCTGTTCTTCTACCAGGCGTACGTGAGGACGCTCTATGAGTTTAGGTCCCACACAGGACCTTTACGGTGCTGTCAACACCAATCAAGGGCGTATCCTTCATTTCACTCGGAGCACAGCCCTTACTCAGACGCAGCAAGGTCGTCTCAAACCCAAACACGCAATCCCTGACGTCCAGGCCAGGTGGGGAGGGAGGGGGACCACTCCTTTTACTGCAGAATGAACTTGAATGGAAGTTAAATAAAGGAAACTGAAAATCTTGCTGATTCTGACGCAAAAGTAAGAATATGGCTTCTTCGGCTGGTGGGAGGGGAACTGCCAAACTAGAACCTGAACCTCGTCGCTAGAGAAACAAGCCACACCCTGGCTCCAACAAATAATTGTTGCACCTGTGCTACCTCCTGGCAGGACCCATGCTTTCTGCTCTTCTGCTGGTACTTTTTTAAAAAAATAAGTCTTTACTGACTTCAGAGAGAGGAAGGGGGAGGGAGAGAGAGAGAGAAACATCAATGATGAGAGTCATTGATCGGTTGCCTCCCGCACGCGCCCTACTGGGGATCGAGCCTGCAACCTGGGCCTGTGCCCTGACCAGGAATCGAACCTTGATCTCCAGGCTCATGGGTCAGCACTCAACCACTGAGCCACGCTGGCCGGGCTCCTCTGCTAGTATTTTTAAATAAAATGGGGCATGATATGACCCCTGGGAGCTTTAGTTTAGAGCTAGCGCTCACACTGTCGTAGGGTAACAGTCATCTATTTGTTCCTGGAGGAATTTGGAACAGAGTTTGTGCATTGAAAATTTTAGGTGATGTTTGCAGTGTTGGCCATATTATTGCTTGAATTTTTGAAATTGATCAACCGTATCCAGCTGGCACGCTCTCTGGCGATACCGAGTGCTCCTTACGGATATTTGCTGAGTGAGGAAATGCAGGCTGGAGAGGTTCCAGCAGCCGAGGCATTTACACCGGCATTAGGTACCCGGCCGGCAGGGCTCTGTAAGGTGCCAATGAAAAGGTGCCAGATGCGCCCACGCCCACCTGGCTGTGCCGAGTCACCTGTGAGCTCGTCTTCTTTGCTCCCTGAAGAAGTGCTTGAAGGGGCACCTTACTTACGATAAAGCCAGGCAAGTGTGCACCTGCTGTCCCGAGGCAGGCGCAGAGGACTGGGCGTGTGTCTCTAGGGTTCCTCCCCCCATTGCCCCTCGGCGAGACGCGTTTCTGCGCTTGGAGGAAAAGGGGGCGGTTTTGCATGGACTCCTGGGAGAGAGGAGATAAGAAGCCTCCCTTTCCCCTTTGAAGTTCAAAGATTTCAGAACCTCTCTGAAACCGGCTGCCTGTTCTCAGTCCGGAGGGCACAGGCCCCACGGAGAACGCCTTAAACTCCTTATCAGGGCCGGGAGGTAAAGGGATCCCCAGGTCCCACGTCGCCTTCTTCCCAGGGTTTCCCCATCACAGGCCACCGAGGCCTTTGCTCTCGACAAGTATCTTGCAAGATACACAGCTGACCTCAGCGCCCTGTACTGATTCTCCCGGGATAATCGCTTCTTAGGGGGAAGGAGATCTTGAGGGAGATCTTGCAGCTGAAGAGATTCATCCGGGAAATCCAGGGAGGTCAGTCTCTGTAAGGTGAGCAGTTCATCTCGCCACGGACGGCGTCTCCCGGGCAGACGGAGCTCAGGCTGGGGGGGTTCTCAGCCGCCCTGATTTATCTCCGCTGCCTGCAGGTTACGAGAAATTGTTCTCCCGGAGGCCACCTCGGCTTTCTTATTACAGAGGGGATCTCATTTTACACCTTCCCAAGCTAACCTATAGTTGAGATGTGAAAAGCATGCGTGAGGACGAGCTTGGGGAGCGCCGCAAAGATCCACGGCTAGAGGAGCGCCTGGAGGGCCTCAGCCCGAGACGCCCAGGTTCACGTGCGCACGGACCCGCCACAGGTGAAATCGAGAGACCGTCCTGAGAAGCGGGGACAGAGAGCCGGGAGGGGAGGGGAAGGCGAGTGCGCATTTTTGGACCTTGGGCTGATGTCATCTCCTCTTCGCATCAATTCAGAGGTGTCACCACCCTTAATCCCTTCCTTCCTAGGGGCTGTCCTTGGTTTCGGTGACCTTGGCAACCTTGAGAGTTGGTCGGATGTAGTACAGAATGACCCCAACTGAGGTTTTTCCCATGGCTGGACCGTACGGAGGGCCACCCCCACCCCATCGCGAGGCTGCCTGCCATCAACGCGGGCGCGCGCGTGTGTGTGTGTGTGTGTGTGTGTGTGTGTGCTTAGCTTTGGTTATTTTATATCACAAACATCTAAAATCCAGAAACTACCCTCAGCAGCACAAGAGCTCTCATTTAAAGGACCATAACAGAACAAAACACCTGGTTTTCTGTATCATTGTTTTATAATGTCCTCATGGCCACACCTTGAGCATGAGGCACCTTACATGGTGTCGGCATAACTTAAGCCCTTGATTTCACCATTTATTTATCAGGCGAATTATCCAGGTCCTGAGGCAAATACTATTGAAGATACGAACTGTAAACACGGCCTATTCAAATATAGAAATTCTGTTTGACATGACCACCTAGACACAATGCCTAGCAAAGGAGCTACAAATCTGTGATTTTTCTGTTATTAACTTCAACATTTGACGTCTGACTAAAAGGATTTTTCGTAAGACAGTTTTATTATTTCTTCCTAAAGCAGGAAATTTTATAATTATCCTTTATATCCAGACATTTCACCTTAAGTATGTTGACAATTCACTCTGCTGAGCAGTTATAGTCCGACATCTATACCTTCTCAACATCACGATCGTTACTGTTTGAAATAAGTCAATCTTTCCTTAGTTTGTGTGTGTGTGTGTGTGTATTAAATTCCCCTTTTAAAAAGTGATTCATGAAACCCATGGACTTCAGTTGGCTTTATAGTGTCACCTGTGGGTTGCATTTAAACTACGGGCATCATTATAAACTCAAAGCGCAGGCCGCCTGTCTGGAGAGACGCGGACACGGCAGCAGAGAGGAAGGAGCCCGTGGATGGCAATGCCCTTCACCAGCAACGCCCTGCTAGCCCTGCTCAGGAATTCGGCAGGAGCAACGCAATGCTTAAAACTCTTAAAACCAAACACAGAAACCTTAACCATATCATCATCACTTTAAACTTATAGGAAAAATATCTTTAATTTTTCTAATAACCATAACAGAAATGCTCTGTCATTTTTTTAACTTTTGTAAATAATCACGCTCACCAATTTTTATGGATAGTTACCTTCCGATTACCCTGGGTAAGGGACAGTTAATATAAAACACAGAAGTAATAAGCTGAGAACGTTCAGATACCCACTTTTATTCCCTTTATTTCATGTTTGACCAAAAAAAAATGATTTCAGCAATTTTGCTGAACTTAAAAGAAAACTATGTCTTCCCCCAAACTTTCTGCAACTTTCAGGCTATTTTTTTACTGAGTAAACAACTTCAGGGATGCCACTGAAGTCCCTGTGCTCCACACCAGGGGTCTAGTTAAAAATTACAGAGGTCGCAGAATCCCTGCTCTCTTTTTTTCTCTTAGAACCAGATAAACGGGTTTGCACATTTATAAACACTATCAGTTACCTTAGTAATACCCATGTCCCCTTATCCTTTGTTACCCAAAACCTTCATTTTCTCCAAGTGCTAGTTACACACAGTCACTTCCTGGCTTCCTTACCTTTGCTGACCGTCTCGGCTTCCTCCAGACTGGAAGGCAGATGTGATGTCTGGAGCCGGAGCAGCCATCCTGGCACCGAGATAAAGAAACCAGGACCTAAACAAAGCAGAAAAGACACATGGAGATTCTTTAGAAAATGCCCAACCCTGAAAAAATGGGACGCTGAAGCAGGACAGTGTGGGAGGAAATTGGCAGCAAACCTGTAAATCGTTCTTTGCTGCAATTAACTCCAGATTTTAAAAAATAACTTTTTTTTTTTTTAGAGAGATTCTGAAAGTTTCAGAATATACAGTAGGCAAAGACATACTAAAAAAAAAAAAAAATCTTTAATATTTGCTTTCCCGTTAGCACTGCAAAGTAAGAAGTTTACAGATCTATCAGATTATGCCATCTGCAAACTTCGGCAAGCTAAGTTAATTTTCTAGTTAGGAAGCCTTATTTGGGTGCATTTAATAATCCCCTTCTTATGCTAATAGGATCATATCAAGCAGTTGAAATAAAATTGTTTTCCTAAGGTGCATCTGTAGTTATTTTCCGGGCCTGCCCCACCCCTTTCCAAGAAAGGCCCCGTAGGCCCATGGTCCCTGCCGGCTCAGCCACGGTTTCCATGGTCTCCTGCCACGGGGGGTGGCTGGGTTTTAAATGGACGCTCCCGCTACGGGAAATGACTGCTGTGTTTCACCATATTTTCTCTTAGCATCCAGAGATAATTAGCTCTGCCTGACAAAGCACATCACAAGGGACAGCTCCACAGCTCAGCGGCATCTTCCTTATGGCTAATTCTCCCAGAACCTGCTGAAAACCGCTTCGTTATAATTAGGATTCCTCGTCACTGTCCACACTGGAAATGTGGGCGGTATTAACAGTGCAGGCAGAAGCCATCTACATGTCAGCTTTTTAATGCTCCTGGATATTTGCACAGCTGGAAATTGGGGCATTAAAAAAACAAGCGTACCCCTCTGAGCCTCAGCACCCACACTCACACACCACCGGCGCCCTGAATAGATTATTGATGCCCCTTAAATTCCTAAACATATTACCTCCTCCCACTCTTTATATAAACTGAGTTAACAGGAAGGATAGGAAATAGCCCGTCTTCTTTACAGTGACACAGTATCTACAAATCATGAATGAAAGCTGTGAGTACCTGTGAAATGTATTTTTAAATTCTAAGATGCTATCAAAGATGCAGCATGATTGTCGTCAAGGCTTCTCAAGAATGTGGAAAACACCTCTATACTAAGTATATACATCTGTGGTGAAGTATAAGCCCGTTAAAATATGTCAACATGTGAAAATGTGCTTCTTGCGATCAAAGAAATATGATGATAACATCTTCAAACTGAGTCCGATAACTGCATTTGAAAAAAATAAGAAACACGATTGGCCCCCCCATGCTGTCCGACTTAAACCCCCATCGGCTCTCTTCCCATCGGCTCCCTGCCTGACCCTGGTCTTTAACTCCAGACGCATCGCCCTCAGTCCCTGTCACCTCCCCAGGCACTGCCTCCGGAGGGTCCCTCCCTTCAAAGGGCCTCCACTCCCAAAATCTACGCCAGTGACTCTCAAGACTCTGAAGAGATAGAAGACAGAGAAATTCAGGTTATGAAAAGCACACTCTTACCACCCACTGAGGAGCCCCACCTCTATGCCTTGTCACTAGCACAACATGCCCCAAAGCCGCNCTTGTCCTCAGTCCCTGTCACCTCCCCAGGCACTGCCTCCGGAGGGTCCCTCCCTTCAAAGGGCCTCCACTCCCAAAATCTACGCCAGTGACTCTCAAGACTCTGAAGAGATAGAAGACAGAGAAATTCAGGTTATGAAAAGCACACTCTTACCACCCACTGAGGAGCCCCACCTCTATGCCTTGTCACTAGCACAACATGCCCCAAAGCCGCTTAGAACTTCTTCCAACACCAGTTCCACCGGGGCAGCCCTCAGGGGGCACAGGGACGGGCTCTCTCTCCCTTCCTCTTCCCAGCACCGTCCCGGGGCAGGGAGTGAGCATCGCAGGGGCACAGCGCCCTTGTTAGTGAGCCAAGAAACGTAGGGATGAGCAGAGAAATGAGAGGAAACAGGTGATGGAACCAATGCCTCAGAAAAACTGTGCCCCCTGGCATTTGAGAGGGGCACCCATCAGGGTCTCAGGGTCGTCTGTCACCGCGACCCGGCCCTGGGTAACTGCGACCAGAAATAAGAGAGTCCCAGTGTCGCTGAACTGCCATCTGGGACAGGCATCTCCCATGGCTGAAAGGGGGTGAGCACCCATCTCGTTCCTGGGCTTGGACACTCCCAGGGACGCCTTTAGCCTGACCTCCCGGCAGCTGAGACCACAGTGCTGTTCCCATCAGGGCTGCTGAAATAATTGTCCTTAAAAATGCTCAGGTCCTTGTAGCTCTTTGTTGTTGTTGTTGTTGTTTCTCTTGGCAGAATTCTGGTCTTCACAGAAGGCACAGTCAAGATGCCCAGCGCTTTCCCAACACACAGAAAAGGCGTCGGTCGCCGGGGCCTCGCCTTGCTGCCGCCCAACAGCAGTGGCCACGCGGCCCACGTCTCCCCGGAGTATCGCTCCCGCCACCGCCCGCCTGCCCCCGAAAGCGCGCGGGTCTCCCTAGGGCCCCGGCAGCACCCCGGGGCTTGTCAAAGAACCCGGCCGTGACTTGACTGGGATCGGAACCGGGGAGAAGCTGCGTGGAGGTCGGACATGTACGAACGTGCAGGGGCCACACTCACTGTCCTTGGCTCCAGGGTCTCAGAGGCCTCACGCTGCGCGTGGGTCGAGCACAAAGAGAGTCCCACAGAGATGCTGGCACGGACGTGAGCGTTCAGGTTAGGTCCTCAGTCATTATAGAAGGACAATATAAGATATTGACTTGGAGATTATTCTGTATTTATTACAAGAGAATCATTACAAAGACACAGACATCAACTGCTTTGAGGTCTCAGCATTAGAAGGAAGTTCAGCCTTCCCGGTGAACCTGGTAAGAAAACGAAATCACGCCAGGTGCCTGTTCCGTTGATTTTTCTGCAGCTTTTAAGGACGTTTTGTCTTATTAAAAATTTTTCTTAAAATGTGTTTTGTTTTTTAAAGAATAAAATAGGCTTAATAAACAAAGGTGGAGTTTACATTTTAATCTGACTTCACTGAGAATCTCTGACTACAATACATGTTGATTCCATTTTAGTTCCATTTGAGACCTGGATTAAAAAAAAAATCCAATTCTGAGTTTCTGAATGTCTTTTATCATCCTTAACGGAGCGTCTCCTGGGGGACGAACTGGAGCCCACATTTGTTTAGACACCTCCCGGAGCCACGTTAACCAATTTCAGCTCTGAGGTTATCCCACCCGGTGTCACCTGTTGTGCAGCCCAACCCGGCTTGAGTAGGTCGAAAAGAGAATCTACATATTGATAAATAATTTGTAAATATTTTAGGTACCAAAGTAGCATTTCTCTAACAGAACACATTTATTTCACAATAACAAATGCATATCGTTAGAATCTATTTAAAAGTTACACAGCTTACGGGGCATAAATGAGGAGACTGGATGTTTTACACTCATCTACTTGAGTGTTAAACATGTCAATTCACTACCATAACCTCTGAATTTGTCATTGACTATGAGAAAAATATACTATAAATAACATTCGAATCATCATAAAATGATGATATATGATATTTCAAGATGCTAATAAAAGTCTTTATCCTGAATGGAAGCGTTTCTAGCTTTATCGGTAATTCTACCCAATTCTACGAACATTTCATGAAGCAACAGAGCCTTGGTCTGTCCCAACAAGTTTAGCAAATTAGCAGATGCACTACTTTTTGGCAAAATTTTATCTACAAAATCCCTCCTTCCCCCACAAAAAGAAGAGTATTTTTGAATCAGGCATCTGAGTTTTAATTTGCAATCTTTCACTTAGCGTACTATGATACTTTGATACTAGCTTTTTAAAAATTAGGTTTAAAGAATATTTGTTGATTTCTTCCTATAAGCCTTAAAACGTGTCACAGTTTCTGTTGTACAAATGGCAAGAAAAAAAATGACAGATTACCTTTATTTGTGACAAAAACAAATATCATGTTTAAAGATTAAATATCTTCTGGAATTCAGTTTGTTACCTCCTGAGCTCTGAACACCACTGATTGAAGGAATGCTAATAAAGCATGCTGTTAAATTTTTAAAAATTAGTTACCAATTCTTTCTGAAAACAAGCCAAAAGGTGATGTATGTATATCAAACGGTGATGAGCTCTTTTTCCTAGTTGTGTGACCATCAAGCCCTACATTTGATTTTATGTAATTTGTAAAGACAATGCTTCTGAAACTGGCCTCACACCAGGGCAGGTGACTGCCTGTGGTGAATGGCTTGTCAAGGGGGGTGTTTGTGTACGTGTAAGTTTGTGGCATGAAATACTCCTATTTTGCCCAGTGGCCTCCAAGTTGTTCATTATATTTTTAGTTGAAATGCCTGTGTCTGGTCTTTGCTCCTGTTTTCTCTGGAGCTTTAGATAAATAAAATAACAAGTAACTCACTACCCTGAAGCCTCCCAGCCAAGGGCTGTGATGTTTTCAGATCTTAACAAGGCTGACCCCTTTCCATGCTGAGGAGGGAGACATCCAGAGAGAAAAAAGGAATCTTGGGGATGCAGATTTTATATATATATATATCTCATATCACTTACATAACTATTTCCTAAAATCGCTTTTACCAAATGTCTACTCACACATTTACTAGTATAAAATATTTCTGTGAGTTTTGTAAGAGTAGACGTCCAAGAATTAATGTACGAATACGTCCTATCCCCTGAACATGTGTAGGAAGAACTCGGAGGCATGAAGGAGCCAGTTCATGCCTCTGCCTCTAAGCCCTTGGGGGTCCACCGTCCAATGTCCGCTTTCTCTGGAATATCTTTCAGATTCTTCTCTATAAGCAAAATCTCTTTTCCAGCAAAACCACATTGCCTGCTGTCACCAGTCCGAGTCAGCAGGACAAAGAAACCTCCTGGTTTTGACGCGCAAATGAAGAGATCTCTTTCCAGCGTTCCCTCTTTTGAAAACTGTTCCTCCTTCGGGTGTAGTTCTGTGAATCCCGGCGAGACGTTTCTGGAACTTCCAGGCAACGTTTAGTTTCGCTCCAGACACACACTGGACGGGCTGCAATATTTTTCAAAAGTGCTTTTTGCCATGTCTTGTAGGACTCGTCAGTATAACCCAAATCTGTCCAGTGTCTGCTACTTGTCTTACATTTCAAAACACATAAATAAAATCCAGGCAATTTTCTGGAGGTTTTCCGGGCGCCGCCTGATGTTCCCGGTCTTCCCGTTTCTGGGCCTCGCCCCTCACCTCCCATCCTGACTCGCGAACCGTGAAGCCCTGTGCTGTT